GGATGAGGATGAGGATGAGGATGAGGATGAGGATGAGGATGAGGATGCGGATGCGGATGCGGATGGGGATGAGGATGAGGATGAGGATGAGGATGATGATGATGATGATGATGATGATGATGATGATGATGATGATCATGATCTGATGATCTGATGATCTGATGATCTGATGATGATGATGATCATGATCATGATCATGATCATGATCTGATGATCTGATGATCTGATGATCTGATGGGTTGCAGACCTTTCCTGAAAATGCTGATCATGCTGACTCCCGACGGCTACTGGTTTACTGGGATGCATCCTCTGGATCCGGATGTCCCGGGCAAGCCCGTGTTCAACCGGTTGAACCGGTCGGTGATAGAGCATAGAAAGACCCTTCTTCTGGAGTCCAGGCTAGACTTCAGAAGGGTAAGTAGCATAGGGGTTCCCAACAACCAGAGACCATCTTGAATACAGCGCGTGGGGACAGTCATGCAAGTGCTGCGGGCTGGACCAGTGCTTCGATTTCAACACCCCAAATTTACAGGGAAGTGTTGGGCCCACCATTTATGTAGCTCAGTCTTAGGGAGAGAGCAGCCCACCGGGCCTTTTCAACCGAAAAGCAGACCGTCCGGACCTGACTCAATCGATCTTGCCGTCTCGATTCCTGGCAAAGGGTCAACCGGTGAACCCGAACTTTCCACCTCGGCGATCTACGGAACATGTAACAGAATAGACGAGCGGTCGGTCGGTGACATGGGCTCCTGCCATGACAGCGGACAAGGGGGGGAAACCAATCGGGCGCTCCACTTGTCGGGTAGGATGGAGATGGATGGAACACTTCCACCAAGGCTCTGGATGGAGATGCAAAGCCAACAGCCCAAGAGCCTTCGTCCACGGGTGATGCTCAAGCGGCTCTGACGCAAGACCTTCATGGACTCACCTCGTGCGCTTCAGCAAATTGGGTACCAAAACACAGCCACCCCACCGAGGAAACAAATGCATCTACTCCTGCAGCCCCATCCAGTGCACATCGGATATGTTTGACCAATCGTGAATTCGAAGGGTGAGTGCAAAACCCACCGAATGTCGGAATTGGCCACGGTGCCATGGAGCATTCGATTCTGCGAAGGACACTGTGGATTGGATTTGGATCTCTAAAATTTTGAGACATGGAAATTGGAACCCACCTGGTATGCCGCATATTATATGCCTCAGTCGCATTTTGCGACAGGTCATCCAGTCCAGTGGCAGACACAGTGGAACATGGAACACTTCATCCCGGATTGGTCTGGAAGAGTCTCTAAGCTGGTCATTGCCCACCTGGCAAGTGACTGGTAGCAATGCACTGGGTGCATGAATGACCAAAATTAAACCATCAGTATGTCCAACAAGTCGTGTTATGTAGTCACACGAGTCCTGAAATTCCAAAAAAGAGCCTCCATCCTCTCAACTTGTCAACCAGCCCAACCAAGCACTCGGACCCGACTGATTTCAACTTCCGATGGACTGATTTCATGAAACTCTTCCGCGATCTGGCCCAACATCAGCACGGTGGCAAAGGACTTCATCACGCTCAACGACTTTGAGGCGGAATTCGGCAGTAGCCATACCCCCGACCTGAAGGGCCGAAGGTGTTTCAGTGGGCCGAGTTCCCCCGACCTGAAGGGCCGAAGGTGTTTCAGTGGGCCGAGTTTGGATCAAAACAAGCTTCGCTACGAAGGGGTGGCATCGCGACTCGAACGGAGCGGACGGTGACCAGACTCTCCCCAGTTCCTCCACTTAGCTTGTCGGGTGCACCGAAAACACGTAGGAATCAGGCAGTCCAATGGAGGTCCCTTAGTGTAGGGCCTGTAGGGGCTTCCATTGGTGACCCTTTTGAAGGTGCTGGCAGGTTTAGATATTCTTCAAAAATATGTGGTGCTTGCCGGTAGCGTATTCTCCACAGGAACCTTCCCATCTCGGGTAGTGCGGAGATCTGCGGGTATGTGCCCCCACCAGGCCCTGGGCCTCCGGGCGCAAAGAGGTACTGAGGAGAGGCGAAGCAAATGATGTACAAGACCTGCTTGTTTTCAACTTTGGGATGCAGATGGATGCAGGGTGTGAGCTGTCATCTGTATTGGACCTGTTAAATATGGTTAAAAAGTAAATGTAAATAAATAAATGCCCAGCTAAGCTGAGTTCCGGGACCAAGAACTAATTACAAATGCTTCGTTGTTAAAAGATCGATTCCTGATGCTGCTTATCTAACGAACAAGCCAACCACTTAGAAGTGGATATTTAAGGATCCAGGTGGGAGGTTTCAAACTAAAGGCACAGGGGAGGTGAGATTTCCTTCAACCTGCGTAGGTAAACAGAACAGGCTTCCGCGGATGATAGGAACACCCCAAGATACAAGGACGAGCATGATTTTTCGACCATATCGTCCACCTTAGAAGGACCCTGTTCTTTCAATCCACCCACACCGCTTCCCTGGTGAATCAGTGAAGGAACTTTAAACCGTGCCCGGAACATGACTCCGACATCTGACATCTATGTATAACGGGGGCATAATCCAAAAAGAAGATAAACGACTAGACGAACAGGAAGACTTTCAGTACAGTTCTGACAAACAAAATGCCTCATCTTTCATCCTAGTCGAGCTTCAAAGTTGGAAACTCACAGAAAGAACTTAGATGGTGAAATCCTCTATCAGGTCATACTCTCCGCTCCGCTCTCCATGCATGAAATCGTGAAACACTCTCCCACGCCGACGTGAAATTCAACGTTGAAAAAGCGTCCAGGGCACCGAGAACTGCAAGACACCGATTGGAGTGATCAGCATCATCGGCATCCAAATACTCACCTGAGGGACTCAAAAAACAAACACCTCAAATGGCAAACCCTACTCAGAGTGTCTGTTTCCATAGGGGCCCCCATGGTGTGCCTCTGTGCTTTGGAAACAGCCGTGAAGAAGTTCCCTGCGGTCCAAGTGATTATGTGAGTACAACCAACTCCTAAGTACCACTTATCCAGCTTTCAGGACCAATCGCAGACATCCACCACGTTCCTGCCAGGTGTTCCGTCTTCCTGGTGTCTTCCCACTCCCCCTTCAAACGGAGATGAACATCTCCACGCTGCGGGTTACGGTCCATCCGGTTAAAAAGCAATTCTCAATGGGAAAGGAGTGGACCCCAGGATGCCCAGGAGGAAGAAACCACTGATTTCTTAAACGATCCAGGTTGAGATGATTAAGGATTGGCCCAGAAAGCATTCCAACTGCTCCGATGTTGGATGGCTCCTGGCCGGACACACCACATGCTGAATCCGTCAGGAGGCCCCTCGCAAAGCACAAACCAGCACCAGGCTGAAACAGCTTGGAGTCCTGGGAGGCTGTGCACATCGGAATTGCACCCAGCTACGATGTATTGCCAGGACTTGTGATGAGAGCTGGACGAGTAGAGGCTTTGACCTTCGAGAGATACGATATAGGAGTATATGATACAGTATATGATAGTATAATTACAGTATACGGTGTCAGTGTGTATCAGTGCAAAAGGAATGAATGAGCCCCTGAATGCACTCGTGGATTCACCATGGTTCACCAACCAACAGAACGACCCGAAAACCCTTGGATTTCTGGGCATTTCTGGGCTCCCTCGGATCAGAACAATATCAAGACCACGATCCGTCTCCCATGGCTGAGGAGGTTCGCGTTCACACCCTCATGGGGGGGAGTGTCCTGAGAGCAAAAGGCTTGGTTGCTTCTTGTTCCGTTCGTAGTGTTCTTGTTCCGTTCGTAGTAAGGCCAGGAGCACCCCCGGGCATCGTAGCCACGATGCCATGTCGCTCCGTTCGATACCGCGATGCCCTTTGTTACTTCATCCACCTGATCCTGGACGCTGGTGAGATATGTCTCTTCTGGGCGCCGTACTTCCACCGATTCAAACGTTGGAGTTGATGTTCGCATCGCTTTCACCGGTTCTTCGTCCACTTCGCCGGTTCTTCGTGGCGCCACCGGTGGCCGGTATAGCCGCTCATGATACAAGCGGCGCTCAAACATCTCAAGATATGTAAACAAAGAATTACTATATCGAATCATATCTTGTAGATGTTTGATATTACTATTATATCATATTTGATATGTCAGCCCGGTACTTGTAGATCATCAAAAAACCGTTTGCAAAGTCTTTTGATGATCTGCAAGCTGCAAGCTGTATCCCAAACTATCGCGCCAGCAAGCCGAGGATCAGTGAGGCAGTGTAAACAGCCTCATCTGAGCCAGCCACATCGTACCAACGCAACTCCTCGGAGGAGTAGAGGGCCAGAACGTACCCGAGGAGTAGAGCAGGGCAAGATCAAATTGCCGCGCCAACTCTTTTGATCTATTTGGTGGGGTGAAAGGCGATCAAACCTTGCTTTCGATTTGATGTGGCACAGTTGATGGGTGAAAGTGTTGATGGGTATGGCCCTATATATTGCCCAGCTAGAAACTGATGCAACACTGAAACGATTTTGGGAGACAAATGACAGGTCCCTCAAATTTAAACCATCATCCTAGAAAAGGGAGGGTTCAACTGTTCAAGCTCCAAACTCGAATTGTTTTGAGGAATCAAGTAGCACTGGCAATCAAAGCCCTATACCCTTTGCAACACTGTTTGTTTCCGAACACCGGCAGCAAACAAACGCAACAGTTCTTCATGTGCAAAGTTTTCCTGGGCCACTCTCCCTCTCTGCACAGTCACTTAACTGGGTATGGCTCAAGACATCATTTCAAGCTCTCAACTTGAGAACTTCGGCCTTTCTTCACATCTCATGGCCCATCTCGGCCCATCTCCCACTGATCTCGGTCCAGGCACCGACTCGATCTCACTGACCTCACTGACACGCGCATGTAGAGGAAGACTCACCTCAGACTTGCCACGCACCGTCGTCCCCGTCGCCGTCGTCCCCGTCGCGAACGCCCGCTGCTGCAGCTGGATCTCTGCTTGCACCGAGGACCTGCAGCGGTGAAGAAGACGTAAGCCGAAAGGGACGAAACGTCCGACCGGACCAGAACAGTTGAACGTTGCTGGAGTCCAGGGTGACCAAAAGTCGCTCCAGCGTGTTCGTGTCATGCGTCGGACATCGTAGGACAAAGGAAGGAGGTAAGGACCGGTAATTGAGGATGTTGAAACATGGAAACGGAAGAGGAAAAAGGAAAGTAAACAAAGAAAAGGTGCAAGCATAACTCGCATGCCTTCTGATCTCCTTGTAATCTCCATGTCGATCAATCCACGCAAAGTAACGGCCGTCGCGTCGCGCGTCGCGCCTGGAACCGCCGAAGAAGCGGCGAAGGCTCTGTGTCTCCGGCAGCGCTTCAGAACCGCGAGGTTCGCTGGAGCGGCGTTCCGTCTCCATGCGACCGGACGAGGAACGCCGAGACGGAACGAGGAGCGCCGTTGGGAACGGAACGTGTGTTGTTTCTGTGCGCGCTGTTCGGAACTGGAAGGCTGCTGGAAGGGTACTTTGCGGTGCCGATGTCAATGTGCAGGTAGGGGGTTCGGCTCAGAATTATGTTTTTGTTTTCTTTGTTCGAATGCCGTTTTCGGTGTTGAATTGTCACGTGCAGCTGGACTTCAACTTGAGTTTCTGCCAAAGGTTTCGGGCAGTTCTTCTGTCAAACAGTGAAACAGATTTTTCAAGATCCTACATTTCACTCTTGCGACAAGCCCCTGTTGGGCTTGCAAGAAGGGCCAATGCGGTGGGGGTCTTCGGATGGTCGGACCACTCCTGCTTCACCGGCGCTGTCTGAGAAGAGCTCCCATGCGACAACATTGGAGGACCAGCCTGAAGGGCCTGTCACAAACCCTCTTTGCACCAACGACATGTCAGTGCTGTCATGACGTTTCTTCGCCTCATATCTTCCGCATCATGTGTTCATATGTGTTCATGATCTGGGAAAACGACGTCATGTGTGGTCCAGGGCATTCGGTCGCGCTTCCGCGTGTTTCTTGGCGTGCGAAGAATTGTTCCGCCGTGCCTTCGGACAGCTGTTTCAATGAGTGTCAAAGAAACTAAGAGCTCGGTCGTCGGTCCAAGTGTTGGAAAATGCCATAGGCAATATTGCTGAATTCGATCATTGGCTTGGTGGGCACCAGCCAAACAAAAACAAATCGATGCTGTGTGTTCTACCGAGCACTCAGCAAGCACTTGCTGCAACTCAACGTCAAAGATTCAGCAGCTCCTTCAACCACTTTGCGATGAAGTTGGAGCACCAGCTTCTTCGAAGCTGACATCAGCTGACACAAAGTCTACGCATTTCTCCTTGAGGCTGCGCAGCCTCACAACACCCAAGAATCCTTTCCAGCCCTGAATTCATTTTTTTTTCACTCGCTAATATGGAAGTTGGATGGCACAGTCAACAGTCTTGCAAAGGACATTAAAAGACACTCCATGTTTGTCAGTCAGAGTGTAGGGCCTTGACTCTTGACGGCACTTGGTGACTTGTGTTGAAATACAATGAAACGATGGCCCGCGATAGTCCAAAGCAAACCGTTGAGTCGTTTCCCACATTTTTCTGAGGGGGTCTGCGTTCCATCCGACTTCGCAGCCTCCCGAACCCACAGCACCGCAAGCGTCAAACGACCTTTTGCGCGACACAAACCAATGCAAGGTGCTTTTAGAGTGTGGACATCTTGCATGTCCATTCTTTGAACTCCATCCCTCCACTTTTCAAGGTGAGTTCCGCCGAAAACGACGTTCAAAGAATTCCCGCAAGGCGAACGAACCTATTGTGGATTCCATTGGACCCAAAAGCCACCCTAATTCGTAGTAAGGGTGACAACCTGCGTTTCGTCCTGTGAAGGCTCGACGTCAGCATCAGGGGAGCAGTTATCTGCATTTTCTGCATTTTCAGAACTACCAATTGAAATTGGGGAGGCTGCAGTCTGCTCCGTACTTTCTGGAGAAGGAACCACACTTGGTGAGGTGCCATTACCCTGTTTCCAACTCCATGTCGGTCTCCGATAGCTGACTTCTGCCAAGACACCACTTGATGGCTCTCTGGTGGGCAGGGTGGCCGTCACTGCTGCAGCTGGACTTGGTCGCCAGTAGCAGCCCGTCTGCAATAGCCCAGGTCTTGGGGGGAGGTGAAGGGGCAAATCAGGCTGGTCAGGTCCAGCTCGGGTTGACAGCGCCACGCATCATAAAAGTAATTTTTCATCCTTCTCATGATGACCTGGGCACACCGCCCACACGGCGTCCGTGCTCGTGCAAAAAAAGCCAACAAGCTGCCTCTGCCCTCACCTTTGCACGAGTCGAGGCGCTATGTGTGCAGGTTCTGCACAAGTCACCTTTGTCGAGTTTAGAAGGAGTTACTATACAGGTCGCAATCCAAAAGGAGAAACAACCACCAAACAACCAAAGCAACACCAAACAAAAACCCCAAACACCAAAGCAACACAGAACCAAACCACAAAACCACCAAAGGAAGGAAGCGACCTGTTGCGCAACTCATGTGGCCATGTAAGCCGTAAGAGAAGAGGTGAGACAGGGGCATTGAATTCCGCAAAACTCTCAGTACTTCTTGCCCCTCAACAGTCTGCTTAGTACTTGCTTAGTGCATGGCATGGTAACGGGAGGCAAACTAGACTCCCTTGCCTGGGTTTGAGGCATTGACAAGTTGTGTACTTGCAATGCACTTGAGAGGCATTCGTGTGTAATGTAAGTCATAGCCGACATTGGGTCCACTAAGGACGAGGTGGACAAGGTGGATGCAGGCTGAGTTGACTTGCGTCGCTCGATGACCTGGGGCTCAAAATTTGGCATGATGTGGCAAATCAATGGAAGACCACTGCGCTTGCAATCGGAATCTCCAAACTGCCGAAAGAGAAGGAGCGGTGTGGAAACCACCATGCAGCCACAGGCCGAATGGGCCGCTGCAAAGCAGCGTGTCCCGATCCTCCCCCAGAAGGGGAGGAGGCAACTTGAAGAGTGTCAATCCCGCACAGACTCCAAAACGGCTTGGCAACGGGAGTATGCGAGAGAGGCTCCCAATTGACAGAGAAGGAGCGTAGCATTCACATCACAAATGCAGCAGTCAAGCACATTGTAACAATTCGCTTCAGTGGCCAGTCAAGATCGGCCAACACATGCAAGGCCCCATGAACTACGCGAAAATGGGTGAAACAGAGTGAAACGCCGTTTTCCTATATCTGTGCACTATACCCATCCAGTGCCGCTACGCGGGTAACAGCCTGGGCACTGTCTAGCTACTCAGGCTAGCAGCCTTTGTGGTCAAGACGTTGTGGCACTCACAGGACCAACACACGGGTGCCAGCCTGAGAGGCTAGCTTTGAGGTGTTAGGCAATGTGTATGCTTAACCCGCCTGCTGCACTCATGCTAGTGAGCAGCTAGTGAGCAGCAGGGGACAGGTTTATGATGCCATACATAGTGGCGGGGTTTCTCTGTTGGTCCTGTAGTTGTCATGGTGCTGGTCATGGGCGCATTACTCAAGGTTGGCTTCAAGGGACAGCAATTTAGTCAGGGCTCTGCTTCGCGATTGTAGTGGCATTGTGTGCTCGTGGGAGGTGGCCTCTAACATAGTCAGGGCCAGCACACGGGTGCCAGCTTAAGGGCTCAGCAACGTGCCTCTTTAGACACTTACCACTGACTTGGTTCTGGATAGGAATCATCTGTCCATTTGTCCTCATCTTTTCGATTGAGCGGTAGGAGACGAACCCACTTCGGCATGTCAAGGTTGTCACACTTGAGGAAAGCATTGGCTCTGGAGTATGTTCCCCTCCAGGTCAGGCTTTTTCCCACTCTATGAAATTGGCAGAGCTGTGTGCAGCCGGCGAAGGCACGTCTGGCAATATATAGCAAGGTCGGTGGAACACTGACCTCTTTCAGCGAAGTGCACTTGAGAAAAGCTTCCTGTTCAATTCTGCGAAGTTTATGCGGAAGACTTAGGTGCAGATGTTTACAATGCGCAAAGGCAGAACCCATAATCTCAGTAACCTCTGTACATGAGAGATCAACTCGCTGCAGTTGCAGACATCGTTCACAGGCCGCCGGTCCAATCCATGTAAAATCTGGAGGCAGGGACAGCGACGCGATCCCAGCCTCAAGGAAGCAGCATTCAGGTAAGCATCTGGTAGTACCCGACGAGTCGCTATCGGGCCGTCCCAGATCGAGGTGTCTCAACGCAGTGCATTTTTCAAAGGCCCTAGGCATCAACTGTGCTTGTGGGGCTAGTTGGTTGGTCGTATCACTGTTGATTCCAATTTGCATTAAGGAACAACATTCTTCGAACACTTTGATTCCAAACTGTTTACAACCTGGGGCGATTACTGTGCGGAGTGCATAGCATCTGCGGAAGACTCGGGTTTGCAGGCAGATCACTGTGCTTGAAAGATGCACTATCTGGAGGCGCTGGCAGTTTCGCCACGCAGCCTCTCCTATGATACGAATGCCTGCATCAACCTGCACATGCCGAACCTCCGTAATGTACGAAAAAGCTTGCGGCAGAATTCTGTCTGTGGTGTGATACGGGACCCGAATGGCTTTGGAATCACCCTTCACCTGTCCCTTATGTTCGGCCTCTGCAAAACATGGGCGAGCGATGACAGTGAAGCAATTATTGCCGCGTAAGGTGCTCCAAATTGGGTCCACTAATTTTTGGTGAGTGTTGCGACAGACAAAGTCCAGCTCACAGCCAAATGTACTGCTTTCTCCAATGTTGGGAAGTTGCTCCAAGACCGCATGTTCAAATTGGTAGAAGCGGTCGTATTCCTGTAGTTCGATTGTGATTTGGGTTTCTTCTCCCGCCAGAGTGGTCAGGATCAAGTGCACGACCATTGACCTTTCCTCGCTCCATTGTGAGCTAGTCACTGACATAAAGTCTGTTATCCTTTCATGGGGTCTCCGGCCCTAGAGTGTGAGTCTAGTTTCGAGCCTAAATGTCCTGCAGCGGACCACATGCTAGCTCGCCTACCTGGCGCTCTCCCTATGGTATTTTTGGGCGCGGACGACTACACGGGCAGCCGTTTGAGTGCAATCCTGCCTGTGCTAGTGTTGGGTTTTGTTTCTACGACAGGTCCGCCTGTAAAACAACACCCTCCAATCGGCTTCCATGACTCGAAGGACCGCGCAGCTGGACAGTGCGGCATGCCTAAGAGGGCTATGGGCAGGGTTTCCCAGCCTTGACGAGCTAGTCGATCAAGTTGGAGCGGCGCGTCTAGCTTTGCTTTTCCAAAAGCATGAAAGATGATCGGTCGCATTCTGTCCGGTACAATTCGACTGGCTTGGAAAAGATGTTCACCTGGCAGCGACATTGCTTTGCAGGGTCCTTCCAAGTGAGGCAATACTGACAGGCAGCCTTGTTCGAAAGTAGCACGTGCCCAGCTTGTGAGCCATGGTGTGCGTTCTTGTCCAGCTTGAGTAAGAGCTCCTGGATGGGCT